TAGGGCTTAGGGCTTAGGGCTTAGGGCTTAGGGCTTAGGGTCAGATGTCCTGCACAGCAGATCCGTCGTGCACATTGTTGAGCGAAGTGAGCCTGGAGAGGGTGGGGGTTCAGGGCTTTGGGTTTTGGAGCTTTGGGTATAGAATATGAGGGTTAGGGTAAACTTTGGGGTTTGGCACTTTGGGTTTTGGAGCTTTGGGTATAGAATATAGGGGTTAGGTTAAGCTTTGGGGTTTAGGGCTTTGGGTTTTGGAGCTTTGGGTATAGAATATAGGGGTTAGGGTAAACTTTGGGGTTTGGGACTTTGAGCTTTTGGTTCTTGGAGCTTTGAGTTTAGAATGCAGGGGTTAGGGTCCCGCCTCGTAGATGGGTACAGGATTGCATGGGCAGGCCTTAGGGGTTAATGTTTAGGGTGTGGGGTTTAGGGTTTAGGGTGTCTGCACGATGAACCCGAAAGCCCTAGGATCCCTAGACCCTGAACCACAAGCCCCCGAAGCCTCAAAACGCCAAAGCTCCCAAAGCCCAACTCCCTACACCTTAGGGTTTGCGGCTTAGGGTTTAGGGTTTAGGGTTTAGGTTTTAGGGTTTAGGGTGTAGGGTTTAGAGTTTAGGGTTTAGGGCTTAGGGTTTAGGGTTTAGGGTTTAGGGCTTAGGGTTTAGGGTCTAGGGCAAGATTGAACGCTTAGCGTAAAGGCCCAGGCCATAAATCTGGAAACCCCGAAAACCCCCAATGTCGGGCCCTCCATCATAGGGGGACCAGAAGGGCATACCAGTAGTCTTTCTGGTTCTTAGTAGGGACTGGGGGCCCTATATATACCCCTTAGAGGAATTGACTTATAGAGGGCACCGTATATATAACCTTTAAGGGATTATAAAGGGTACCCTATGTGTACCCTTTAAGGGATTCTATAGGGCCCTAAGTCCGCCAGTAGTAGCTCTTCCGCCATCCCTTATATTGGATGATCCAAAGCCCTGAACAACAGCCCCTGCTTGGAAGATCTAAACCCTAAACCCTAAACCCTAAACCCTAAACCCTAAACCCTAAACCCTAAACCCTAAACCCTAAGCCCGCCTTCTGAAAATATTCTCAAAAAGCAGCTCCACCTGAGGCAGGTTGAGCCGTGCGGGGACCCCTAAACCCTGTCCCAAAACCTTGTGGGGTTGAGGATTCAGGCTGTAGGGTTTTAGGGATTTAGGGTTTAGGGCTTAGGGTTTAGGGCTTAGCAGGGAAGCCTAGAACGTACTTTGGGGTTTTCGAGTTTGAAGTTTAGGGTTTAGGGCGTATGTTTTTGTTTTGGGGTGTAGGGTCTTAGGGTTTGAGGGCTCAGTGGAGTTTGGGGTCTCCGGGTCTTAGGATTTAGAGTTTCATGGTTTTAGGGAGCCACTGCTAGTAAGACAGACAACCTTGGGGGGGGGGGGGGGGGGGGGGGGCGCAACTTTGGGGACAGGTAGCTTGAACAGCTGCGATATTGAAGTAGGGTATATATGTATAAATAAATAAAGAAATAAATAAATAAATAAATAAATAAATAAATAAATAATAAGAGAAAGAAAGAAATCAATCAATAGATAAACAAATAAATAAATAAATATATATATATATATATGTGTATATATATATGTTTTCCTAGTGTAGCATATATATATATGTCTGTATGTATGTATGTATGTATGTATGTATGTATGTATGTATGTGTATATGTATAACTAGTATAGCCTAAATGACACGCAAAGCACACACCAATATTCAACTGCTTCACATATTGGCAGCATGTAAAGCCTTGCCATAAGCACTCTACCCTAAACCCTTAACCCTAAACCCTAAACCCTAAACCTGAGCCCAAGCCACCTTGGTCTCCAGACGCCAAACATCCAAAGCCTGTTGGAGGCAGGCAGTCGCGCTTGGGGTTTGGAGTTTAGGGTTTAGGGTTTTGGGGTTTAGGGTTTAGGGTTTAGGGTTTAAGGTTTAGGAGGGTTCGGGCTTCGGGACCCCCGCAGGTCGCTGGCGGGTAACCCGGAAACAACAGCATCAACCAGGAAGCGTAAGCCCTTAAACTGGGGTTTAGGGTTGGGGGCCGTGTAAGAATCTAAAGTTCTATGAGTGGTTTAATACGTATAAGGACAAAAGCCCACAGAACTGAACAAAAAAAACTGTTCCAAAAATCAACCCCAGCAACTAAGCCTCTAAACCCTCAACTCTCAACCCTCAATCCTAAACCCTCAACCCCAAGACCTAAACCCTAAACCCTAAACGCCAAACCCTAAACCCTCAACCCTAAACCCTAAAGCCTCAACCCGGAAGCCACAGCCTCGCAACACATGAAATGCGCGCAGTGCCCTGCCTTTGCCTGGCCCCGCAATCGGGTGGCCCCCTGCTGAAGCTTTGGGTTGGTTTAGGGGCTTTGGGTTTAGGGTTTAGGGTTTAGGGTTTAGGGTTTAGGGTTTAGGGTTTAGGGTTTAGGGTTTAGGGTTTAGGGTTTAGGGCTTCGGGTTTTGTGGTTAAGGGTTTAGGAGCATAGGGCCTTACGGGTAGGGGTTTAGGGGTTAAGGGGTCGGTTTAGGGGTGGAGGGGTTTAGGGGTATAAGGGTTTGGGGATTGGGGGGTCGGTTTACGGGTTTGGGGGCTTAGGGGTTTAGCCCCCTATATAGACCCCAAAAAACTCGAATCCTCATTATCGGAACCACCCCCGATTAGGGTAACCGTATTTTCGAAAAACCGCTCATATCAATAGCCCCTTTGAGGGTTCTATAAAGAACCCGAAGCCTACTGGTTCTTGGTAGGGAAGGATGGAGTTCGGTACCTTACATCCCCCCTAAACCCTAAACCCTAAACCCTAAACCCTAAAACCTAAACCCGAATCCCAAAACTGGGTAGAAGGACCCTAGACTCCCTCCCTTCCCCACGAAGAACCAGCAAGCAAACCTAACTCTGGGGTTGTGGGGTTTTAGTGTTTAGGGTGTAGGGTTTAGGGTTTAGGGTGTAGGGTTTAGGGTTTAGGGTTTAGGGGTTTTTTGTGCGTTTTGGGGGGGTTTTGGGGGCTTTGGGGTTTTGGGGCTTTGGGGATTTATGGTTTTGGGGTTTTGGGGTTTGGGAAGTTTGGGGGTTTGGGGTTTTGGGGATTTGCTGATTTGGGGTTTTGGGGATTTGGGGCTTTGGGGTTCTGGGCATTTGGGCTTGGACATGATGGGCTCGTCTCCCCCCGGGGGCCCCCCCCCAAACCGATCTGAAAATAGTTGTGAGGTCTGGGCTCTGGGGTGTTTATGGGGTATATGAGGGGTATACGAGGGGTCCCCATTCCTAAGCCCATACAAAGGGACCAGCCTAGAAAACGCTAGAAACCCGAAACCCACAAGACAACTGGAAGCGTGAGGGTTTAGGGTTTAGGGTTGAGGGTTGAGGGTTGAGGGTTTAGGGTTTAGGGTTTAGGGTTTAGGGTTTAGGGTTTAGGGTTTAGGGTTTAGGGTTTAGGGTTTAGGGTTTAGGGTTTAGGGTTTAGGGTTTAGGGTTTAGGGTTTAGGGCTTACGGTTTAAAATTTAAAACTATTTATAAACCCTGAAACCCTGCAAAACCCTTGACCCTGGAAACCCTGAAAACATAAAACCCTCAATCTAGGCAAGACCTCGATGAACTCACTGAGCGTGATCTGCCCGTCACCTTGAAAGGGGTGCTCAAACGTCAGCGGTTTAAGGTTTAGGGTTTAGCAGTGTGTAGGGTGCAGGGGTATTTCTGGTCACCTTGAATAAATAGAATTTGGGTTTCGGGGCGGGAGAGTTTTTCGGGCTTTTGGTGTTTTCCCACTTTTTTCGAGGAATCCATACATAGAATCTTTGAACCCATACATAGAATATTTGAGGAACCCATACATAGAATCTTTGAATCCATACATAGAATCTTTGCGGCATCATGTTTAAGACAGCTTTTGGGCGCCCGTTTGGGGGCCTCCTGCAGGCCTCTCGGCGACTTGGTTTCTTGGGCCTCGCATCTTCTTCGGGTGTCTTCTAGGGGCCTCTCCTCTCTTGACGTGCCTTCCTGCCAACCCACTTCTCTCAGCAGCCACGTCTGGGTGCTTATCTTGGCCCCTGAGAATTATTCTATCTATCGTTTTGGAAATTTGAAACATTCTATTAAGGATGCCTATAGGTTAGGGGAAAGAAAGGGTGCAATTTAGGATTTGGCTTTTGAGATCTTTCGGGCGCATAGTTTGACCCGCTGATATAATGCTTTCGGTTCCAGGGCCCAGGATTGAGGGGCTCAAACTAGGGTTTAGGGTGTAGGGTTTAGGGTTCAGGGTTTAGGGTTCAGGGCATAGGGCTTGTGGCTGAATTAGGGCCTAATTGCCACAGTCATTGAGGGCTGGGGGTTTGTGGTTGAGGGTTTGAGGAGGCAATCGGTTTGGGGTTCCAGGCTTAGGGTCTAATAGGATGAATGAGGGTCTGGGCTCCCATTCACTAGAAAATTTGGGTTTGGGGTTTAACGTTCAGGGAATAGAGTCTAACGCTCAAGGCAACGTGGGACTTAGGATTTGGGTTTGAGATTCAGGACCCATGGGTGTAAGGTAACTTGGTGGTTTCCGAAATTATGGGTACCTTATTGGGGTCTTTGTAAGAGGGAATCCAATTATTTGGGGTCTGTATTAGGGGTCCCTCATTTTCGTAAAATCACGTTTGAAGTGAACTACTACTTGCTGAAGACCCCGCCCCAACAATAATCCCGATATAGCCCTTCTAAGGAAGAATAGTTTGTGCATCTTGTTTCTATTTTTTCTTTGGAGGGGGGGAGGGGTAAAGCAAGTGTGAAGTACTGTAGGATCCATATAGGGTTTTCGGGGTTCTTTATCGTATAGTTCTATAGGAACCACAAGGGCATATAAACCCTAAACCCTAAACCCTAAACCCTAAACCCTAAACCCTAAACCCTAAACCCTAAACCCTAAACCCTAAACCCTAAACCCTAAACCCTAAACCCTAAACCCTAAACCCTAAACCTTAAACCCATACCGTTAGTAATGATTCTGACCCCTGTAGTCTTTACAGGTTGCCTGCAGCCCATGCTCGCTCGCTGCATCTGAGTCACCATTATCAAGGAACTCAAACAGGCTCAGCAAGTCGTGGTAGTCCAACCTGGTTTGCTGTTGGTAGCCCTAAACCCTAAACCCTAAACCCTAAACACTAAACCCTACACCCTGAAAGAGATCGTGCACTCCTAAACCCAACCCAAGGAGGTCTGTGAAACCTATACGCCACTCGACTTACCGCAGCCCCCTGGGTAGCTTCGACAACTTCGGCAAGTGCCCAGCTTTTCCCACACTGCTACCTTTTGCTCGGAGCATCTTGCGGCCAAAGCTAGGAAAACTCAACCGAGACATCGACAAGTGTTGCGTGGATCTTGGACAGGGCAACCAGGAAATACCATCGCAATCGACGATTGCACGTCCCTAAACCCTAAACCCTAAACCCTAAACCCTAACCCCTAAACCCTAAACCCTAAACCCTAAACCCTAAATCCTCAATCTGCAATCCCCGGTCCCACTGAAGGGCTTATGTGGGGGATTGCCAAATTCGGATGCCCTTTAGAGGATTTTGGCCTTAGGGTCTAGGGGTTTAGGGGTTCAGGGGTTTAGGTGTTTAGGGTTAAGGGGTTTAGGGGTTTCAGGTTTAGGGTTGAGGGGTTCAGGGTCTAGGGTTTAGAGGTTTTGGGGTTTAGGGTGTAGGGGTTCCGGGTTTAGGGGTTTAGGGTTTGGGGTAGTGGCTACAACTCCACGTGAGTTGCAGACGGGAGCTGGCTTATGTTGGCGTTGTTCATGCAAAAACACAAGCCCTAGGCTCAAGGCGAGGGTAGAGCCTGCGGTATCGGACTGATGGGTTACCGCAAGCCACTTAACGTAGGGTTCTTATTGCGATTATAAGGACCCTTCTTTACACTCACGAAGAACAGCAATACGAACCCTACCTGCAAGTACTGGTTTAGGGTTTAGGGTTCGTGGTATAGGGTCTGCTTGGCATGGCCGAAGGCCGTGTTAGAAACTTCACAAGAGTGGCGTGGGGAAGGGACAAGACTCACCCGATGGGGTTTCTTCATCCTGACCAGAACAGCAGAGAAACGGCGAAACTTTATGAATGCATTTGTGCCCTGCGATGCTTCCTTCACATTCTTCCATGATCACACGTAAGCCCTAAACCCTAAACCCTAAATCCTAAACCCTAGACTCTACACTCTAGAAAAGCCTACCCTTGGCTCGTAAAGCTTCCTCATGGAACTGGCGGCAGTCGACTCCTCCAATAATGAGCCGAATACCCCGAAAAAGAACCCCAACAAACTCCGTGAAGCCATAGGCTCAGGGGATAGGGCTCAAGGTATAGGGCTCAGGGTTCTATGCCCAAAGAATATTCCTGAAATCACACTAGGATCTCTACTGCAGCACAAGGAACGCTCCATAACTAAGAGCTCTGGGGAAGCTCTGGCGAAGTCCCAACACTCCAAAATGAAACCCCATGAGCCCCACAATCTCAGAGCCTAAGCCGCAAACCCCAACCCCTTAAACCCTAAACCCCTAGACCCCCCCCTAGACCACTAGACCCCCCCCGTGACCCCTCCTGACCCCCTAGACCCCCTAGACGCCCTAGGCCCCCTAGACCCCCTAGACCCAACCCCCCGAAAACCCTTGATCCTACAACCCCAAACCCTAAAACCCTAAACCCTAAACCCTAAAACCCTAAAACCCTAAGGCCCAAGCTCCAGCTGGCTCATCCAGAACTTGAGCTTGGGTGAGGTAACCTTGGTTGAGGGTTTGGGGTTTGGGGTTTGGGGTTAGGGTTTGGGGTTTAGGGTTTAGGGTTTAAGGTTTAGGGTTTAGGGTTTAGGGTTTGGGGTTTGGGGTTTGGGGCTTAGGGTTTCGGGTTTAGGGTTTGGGGATTAGGGTTTAGGCTTTAGGGTTTAGGGTTTAGGGTTTAGGGTTTAGGGTTTAAAGTTTAGGATTTAGGGTTTAGGGTTTACGGTTTAGGGTTTAGGGTTTAGGGCTTAGGGTTTAGGGTTTAGGGCACCGATCCAAAAATGTTGATGTCTAGCTGCCTTTTGAAGATTCTGAAGACCAAAAAAGGACTAGTACCGCATAGGTGCCTAAGCCCTAAACCCTAAACCCTAAACCCTATACCCCAATTACCTCACCCAAGCAGAGTAACAAGCTTGGAGAACTCCTCGAAGTTCAAAGTCCCATCTCCAGTCTCGTCCATTGTTTGAAATAGCCTCTCAGGCGCGGGGTTGAGGGTTTAGGGTTGAGGGTTTAGGGTTTAGGCTTAGGGTTTAGGGTTTAGGGTTTAGGGTTTAGGGTTTAGGGTTGAGGGTTGAGGCTTGAGGGTTGAGGGTTGAGGGTTGGGGGTTGAGGCTTGAGGCTTGAGGGTTGAGGGTTGAGGGTTTAGGGTTTAGGGCCTCCAGTACGGTGCTCAGGTTTTGGGCCTGGGGCTCGCTACCCGGACTTTCTCGGCCTCTAGGCCATAGTGTTTTTGCAGCCGGCTGGGGACAAGTGAGCAATGCAGTTGATAATGCGCCGTGATTTTATATAGTCCCCCAAATAGTAGGTAAGCCCCACTAGCACGGGTTGCAGCACGGCCCTATACCCAGTTTCTCAGCCCTTGCTCGCGCCAGGCACCCTCAACAACCCTAACCCCTAAACCCCTAAACCCCTAAACCCCTAAACCCCCAAACCCCTAAACCCCTAAACCCCTAAACCCCTAAATCCCGAAATCCCTAAACCCCTAAACCCCTAAACCCTAAACCCTTCCCTGCCTTCGGACTTTGTTGGTGTACGTGACAACATCCCTCTCCTTCTGCTTGAATGCAAGCTCTTCGTCGAAGCTGGCAGTCTTCATCGTTTGCCTGGGTTGGCCCTTTAGGGTTTAGGGTTTAGGGTTAGGGTTTAGGGTTAGGGTTTAGGGTTTCGGGTTTGCGGTTTAGGGTTTAGGGTTTGGGGTTTAGGGTTTAGGGTTTAGGGTTCAGGGGTTTAGGGTTTAAAGTTTAGGGTTTTGGGTTTAGGGTTTACTGTACGGTTTCAGGTTTAGGGTTTAGGGTGTGTAGGGTAGAGGGTCCCTTATAAACCCAAATAAGGAAAATATTAAATGTCCCAAAAGCCAACCTAGTTGCTGCACGAACACGGCATTGACGACATTGAGCCTGCTGCGTCAGTGCTGACTACAAGTGCAACTGGGAGTTTGCGAAATCACGGGTACCTTATTGGGGTCGGGTCCCTATTATAAGGGGATCCTACCATTTGGGGATTTATATCAAGGCGTCCCCTATTTTGGTAAACCCCCAGATGGGAAACGATCTGGTAGGGCCCGCTGCTCAGAAAGAAGGATTGTTGAACAGCAGCCAGGCAACACTGCAAATCCAATGATGCACCGGTAGATCAAAAAGAACAAAGAGAACCATTCCTTCGCTGAACTCCCTGCACAAAAGTCTTGCCGTCAGCTTTCAAAAAAAAGAACGCCACAAACTTGAACCCCAAAAGACACAAGAGTCTTCGATTGCGCCCAAGTCTCGCTGACGTTGTCTACAAGCACACGTGCTGGGGGTGCCCAATTCGCGAAGAGTATCTCAAACATGGTCAGGAAAGTGCCTGGTATATCGGATGTGGCCGCCATGGGCATCTACACCACACACAGAAGTATAACAGTAGAATCGTATTAGAAAAGATCAGAAGAATGTATATGAACAATAGCAATGTAACTATATGACAAGACAGCAGTAGAATGACGTAGTAATGCGAAATTTAATCATGTGCTAGTATAATTAGAGAAAACACTTGTATTCTGATACTACAAGAAAATTATACAATATGATGGTCATGAGTGATGCGCCAGAGCACTATAGACATATAAAAATATAGCACAACAAGATTTGCCAACATTGGGGGCCAGGCACGAGTAAAGCTACCGTAGTAGCGGTACACTTCCTCACGCGTCGCGAGAGCAAACTGTGGGTCTTCAATGTAGTCGCGGCAGAGGGTACCTTGTTTCAGAGTTTGGGGTTTAGGGTTCGGGGTTTAGGGTTTAGGGTTTAGGGTTTAGGGTTTCGGGTTTAGGGTTTAGGGTTCAGGGTTCAGGGTTTAGGGCACAAATGAAAAAAGTTTAAAGTTAAACTATTGGCTAGGTAAGGTGCTGACGATCATGCCCGCCACGCATTGCAAGAACGTGAGCAGGCAGAAAGTCCAGAAGAGCATGTCAATGCTTGCCATCAAACCTAGTTCATGGTTGGGATAGTACTAAAATTTAAAATTATATTCCTTATTGGGTTTAAGTACCCTTAAAAATGTAAAATGTTGCCCAACTATGACAAAGAAGCATTTGATGAGCAACTGGAGAGAGGACAGGACGTTCGTCATGGTCACCTCGGAAGCACAAATTGCAGGGCTGTGCAGGTCATCAACCCTAAACCCTAAACCCTAAACCCTAAACCCTAAACCCTAATCGAGTGCCGGTGCTTTGCTTGATATTGCTGCAGTATAGACCTCAAGCCTGCTCCTGGCCGCTCTCTCTGAGAGAGAGCGGAGAGACTCTCCGCCTGCGTGGGGTTAAGATTCCCTGCATCAGAGGATGCTAGACTTTCTCCTTACCCTAAATCCTAAACCCTAAACCCTAAACCCTAAACCCTAAACCCGAAACCCTAAACCCTAAACCCTAAACCCGAGCCCCTGGCCCGACAGATGCAGTTGGTTTGGAATTACAGGCAGGCGAGCCACCATTCGAAGAGCCCGAGCCAACTTGAAAATCCGCAAGAGGCGAAAAAGGACAGGATTGACCTGCATCAACACACGCTCGGCGAGCCTAGACACTGGGTTTAGGGTTTTGGGTTGAGGGTTTAGGGTTTAGGGTTTAGGGTTTAGGGGGCTGCAACGAAACACCACATAACCCCGACCTTGGACATAAGACAGACCTTATGGCCCTAAAGCAAACGCTGCGACCTTTAAAGCCCAAGGTACTTTCTATGCATAGGTGTCAACAGATACTGGCAGCCAAATTTTGTTTTGTTGCAACTTTTAGAACGAAGCTTCTACACTGCACGTGAAGCAGGGTTCGCCCTAATTACATTGAAACACAATCGCCAAACACATGGTCAATGCTGAGGTCATGGACGTTCTACGAACAACTCACACGCAACCCGGATGTTCAGGCCCGACTTCACGACGAGATCATGCAGAAGATGCCGCCAGGTACAGTTTTCAGTTGGCATTGGCATGCATGCTTGGGTCGGAACCCTTTGAAGAAGGCAAGGGACCATACCAAGGGACCATGCAACCACCCTTAGAGTCGAAGAGTGGAGCGTTAGTGGTTGACGGTGCCGCCATCGTCTTGCCCAGGCTTTGCGGTAAGCTGTCGGCCGGCTTGCCGATTGTATGAGTCCACTATTTTTTTTTACTTCAACCCAGACTTGCGGTCCTTGCGATCCCAGCTAGGGGTCCAGGGCTGAACACGCTCGACGCGCCGCGTGACGAGTTGGGGGATTCTGGGCTCTTTCGGGGCGCTTTAGGGTTTAGGGTGCCTGATGCGACGGCGCCTGCCAAAGCTTGACAAAAACTGACGTGCATAGAATAGAAATGGCCCGGCCCGCAGATCCTACGCTAAGGTTCGACCATGAAGCCACGAGCAGGCAACGATGGCTAGCATTAAGTCTGGCTCATTGCGTTCTCTCCCTCTCTCTCTCTCTCTCTCTGTCGCACTCTCTGTATCCACCCATGGCGCACCGGAAGGAGAAAGACGCGTGAGGTGAGCTCAAACAAGGACGTAGCGGTCACAGCCACGTCCACATAGTTCAAGCAGACCTGCCAGACATCGGAGACACTGAGACAGTGGGCATGCGGGAGGAAACATGTGAGCCCTAACCCCTAAACCCTAATTAAACCCTAGAACTGGGAGGCAGAGGGAGCCTAAACCCTAAACCCTGAACCCTACACCCTAAACCCTAATTAAAGGGAAACCCACTATGCCTCGCAGTGACCCTAAACCCTAAACCCTAAACCCTAAACCCTGAACCCTGAACCCTGAACCCTGAACCCTGAACCCTGAACTCTAAAACCAAGGCGGGGCACCTTCCAAAACTTCAGCCTGAGAATGGACACCCGGATCACCACGTCGATGGTGAAGAACATCGTAAAGGCCGTGTCGCCCGCGCGAAAGATGTTCTCCCCTGAGTTTGCGGGGTTAGTGGTTTAGGGTTTAGGGTTTAGGGTTTAGGGTTTAGGGTTTGGGGTTTAGTGTTTGGGGTTTAGGGTTTGGGGTTTGGGGTTTGAGGTTTGGAGTTTTGGGGTTCAGGGTTTAGGCTCCTATGGGCCTTTAAATTTGGGTCAATTGCTAAAGGCTTTATACACGATACATCACAAGGGCCCATGCTTCGGATCCCTATCAACAAGGGCCATACTAGGGCCCATGGTTCCAACCTGAGACCCTGAGTTTAGGCTCTGCGGGTTTAGGGTTTGGGGTTTAGGGTCTAAGGTCTAGGGTTTCGGGTTTAGGGTTTCGGGTTTAGGGTTTAGGGTTTAGGGTTTAGGGTTTAGGGTTTAGGGTTTAGGGTCACTAGGGGACAATTCTTGCAAAAAAAACCTACAAAAACCAAACTTCTCAATGCCTAAACCCCAAACCCTAACCCCCAAAACCTAGATGCCTTATTCCCGAACTCTATAGGAAGCCGAGAAAGCGGTGTGGATTTGTTTTTGGGGGTTTAGGGTTTAGGGTTTAGGGTTCAGGGTTTTAGGGTTTTAGGGTCTTAGGGTTTTAGGGTTTAGGGTCTAGGGTTTAGGGTCTAGGGTTTAGGGTTTAGGGTTTAGGGTTTAGGGCCTACGGTTTAAGGGGGTTACTTGCATACCTGCACCCAGGGAGCTCTTCACCCCCCCCCCCCCCCCCTACTTGAGGGTTTAGGGTTTAGGGTTTTAGTGTTTAGGGTTTAGGGTTTAGGGTTTAGGGTTTAGGGTTTAGGGTTTAGGGTTTAGGGTTTAGGGTTTAGGGTTTAGGGTTTAGGGTTTAGGGTTTAGGGTTTAGGGTTTAGGGTTGGGTTTAGGGTTTAGCCTTATATCAGATTCCCTCCCTTGGAGTAGACCCTGGAACAAAAAGGATATACTTTTTGGGATTAAGTAGCTATACTAGGAACCAAGAACCAAAAAAATGTATTGAAGTATGGTACTCCCAAATTCAGGATTATAGGGGTTCTTCGTTCTTCTGAGTTAGGTCAAGCCGAAACCCTGAAACCCTGGCCAAGCATTCCTTAACTTGAGGATCATGGGGCTCTCCCTCAACCCTACACCCTAAACCCTAAACCCTAAACCCCAAACCCTAAACCCTAAACCCTAAACCCTTGGGTCTGCTCAGGACCTGGAGAATCCCACATCCCTTGATTTGGGGGTTTTCGGGTTGAAGGGTTGAGGGGTTGAGGGTTTAGGGTTTAGGGTCTTAGGGTCTACGGTTTGGGGTTTAGGTTTTAGGGTTAAGGGTTTAGGGTTTAGGGTTTAGGGTTGAAGGGTACTTACTCCTTACCTTGGAGTTTTGGGATTCCCTGGTTTAGGGTTCAGGGTAAACTAAACCCTAAACCGCGGAAACCATCCAAGTCACACTCTACCCAGTCCGCCCTACGCACATAGCTGTTGGAGACGATGCCGACTTCGTAGCCTGAGTTCAAACACTTCAGGGTTGAGAGTTGAGGGTGTTTAAAGGCTTTAGGGCTTAGGGTTTAGGGTTGAGGGTGTTAAAAGGCTCAGGGAACGTAGTAGGTGGGCTATATACATCATGCACTCGTCAGGGTGACCCCAATTAGGGTACTTGTAACCCTGTAACTTACGCACTACGTTCCCTGAGCCTTCAAGCACGGTTTAGGGTTTAGGGTCAGGGATGTAGGTTTTAGGGCTTAGGGTTTAGGGTTTAGGGTTTGCGGTTTAGGGTGTAGGGTTTAGGGCTCAGGGCTTAGAGTCCGGTTTTCCGGGTTGAAGGCTGTCGAACCCGGAGTGGCTTCAACGCTCGGGATTCGATGCATGCTGAGCGCTGGAAGCTGTCCGAAGAAGCCCTAAACCCTAAACCCCTAAACCCTTAAACCCCTGAACCCTAAACCCTAAACCCTGAACCCTGAACCCTAAACCCCAAACCCTAAACCCTGAGCGGCCCTCAACTTTCCACGCGACCAAACTTTAAAGTCTGCCGTGCACCTAGGGCGCCCATCAACGACCCGTAGAGTTGCAGCTCTAGCGCCATCCACAAGACCTTGGTCGCCCAGCAACCATATGAAAATCAGGGTTTAGGGTTTCGGGTTTCGGGTTTAGGGTTTAGGGTTTAGGGTTTAGGGTTTAGGGTTTAGGGTTTAGGGTTTAGGGTTTAGGGATGGTTTCGGGCTACTGTTGCAAGGGCACCCAGAACCCAAGAAGGGGCAAAAGGGCGCCACTCGGCTACCAAGGGACATGCAAGCCCAAGACGCAGGTCATAAGCACCTTACAGGTTCGCTTTTTGGGGGCTTTTGGGGGGCTTTTGGGGGCTTTTGGGGGGTTTAGGGTTTAGGGTTTAGGGTTTAGGGTTTTAGGGCTTAGGGTTTAGGGTTTAGGGTTTAGGGGTTAGGGGTTTGGGGTTTGGGGTTTGGAGTTTGGGATTTGGGGTTTGGGGTTTGGGGTTTGGGGTTTGGGATTTGGGGGTTTGGGGGTTTGGGGTTTGGGGTTGGGGGTTTGTTGGGGGTTTGGGGTTTGGGGCTTGGGGTTCGGGGTTTGGGGTAGAAACTACAAGTAAGCTAAACAACACCACAACAAAGAACAACGAAACATGCGGACAGCAGATCTCACACAGTCCTGGCACAACCTCGCATTCCCTCTGAAAAAGCTGATATAGGGGCCTTCCTCATAAGAATAGATATTTGAGGGATATTGTAGTATAAGTAGAAAAGGGACCATTAGGGAACACTTCACGATTGCTACTTATTCCGACCCCAATATTTCCTTCTCAAGAATAGTAACAGCAACCCAAATCCTTTTAACACGCGCGCGCTGTGTACCCTGAACCCTAAGCCCTAAACCCTAACCCCTCAACTCTAAACCCCGCAGACCTCGAACTTGCTGGACTGCAAGAAGCTCTCGAACTCACCTCGGAGTCGTGCAGGCTGCGCGGCTCAGGGTTTGGGTTTAGGGTTTCGGGTTTAGGGTTTAGGGCTTAGGGCTTAGGGTTTAGGGCTTAGGGCTTAGGGCTTAGGGCCTGGGGCTGAGGTTCCACCTATGAGGGTCTCTTCATTCAGATACAAGGGAGTACTGAAGCAAACCCAAGCCGCGGTAGGTAGGCAAACGAGTGCAGGAGCATTTCTCAGCACCTGCTGAGCCTTTGGAGCCACTGGAGACCTTCGAGGTTGTCACCGACTGACCGAGGTCGTCTGTCATGCTTTGCATGGTGAAGGGATTTCGGTTCCTTGGTAGACCGGCCATCCCATAAATCAGGGTACCCTGGGGCTGGCTACTTGATAAGGGAACCCACAACCCAAAAAAAAAAATGGTCAAGGGCAACCACTGGGGCTGCCAAGGTTCAAAAGATTTATGTTGGTATTCTCGTTGTACTCGTTGTCCCATGCTGTCAAGACGTCCTCCGCTTGAACTTCGCGCCTTTCTCGCGGCCTGAGATTTCGCCACTTTGGGGCGGCAGGCTCGATGGGGCACGGGGACTGGGCCATCTGGCCGGCAGATTCCTTAGTTGCTGAGCTCATAGGCCCCATAAGCGTGTACACTTTCAGTTTCACAGGGGATTCTCGTATCCCAAACAGTGGTGTAAAGTGTACTCACTCAGCTACTCAGATTCCTGCGTGGAGCATCGGGATAGCTCGGTGAGGTGCAGCTTCACCTAATTCATGGCTGGGATAGCATCCTAAAAATCTAAATGTCTATTCCTTATTTGGTTTAAGTACCCTTAAAAATGCAAAAAGTTTACCCAACTATGACAAAGTCACAAGCTCGTCGACAAGCTGCTGGAACTCCGCAGAGACCGCCGCCGAGCTTCCCCCGTGCAGCAGGAAGGCGCCAGCGGGGACCGGCATCCCGATTTGGGCCTGCCCGAACCCCTAAACCCCAAACCCCAAACCCTAAACCCTAAACCCTGAACCCTAAACCCTAAACCCTATAGGGCCGGCGCTGGAGGACCTAAAAAGGAGGGGCGCAGCACCAAGGATGCTCGAGCCGAGAATAAGGCGAAGGGTCAGCCCCCCAAGTGCCTCCGAAACTCTGAGCCCCCTAAACCCCCTTCTTGGTGTAGGGTTTAGGGTTTAGGGTTTAGGGTTTAGGGTTTAGGGTTTAGGGTTTAGGGTTTAGGGTTTAGGGTTTAGGGTTTAGGGTTTAGGGTTTAGGGTTTAGGGTTTAGGGTTTATAGGGTTTGGGGCTTCGGGCTTTAAAGAGTTGAGGGGGTTTAGGGGCCAGGGCTGGTGCGCCTGGGATGCTCGATGTTTACTGGTGGGGGCGGTCCTCGCGGGATTTTCAGGGTTTAGGGTTTAGGGTTTAGGGTTTAGGGTTTAGGGTTTAGGGTTTTGGGTTTTGGGTTTAGGGTTTAGGGTTTAGGGTTTAGGGTTTAGGGTTTAGGGTTTAGGGTTTAGGGTTTTAGGGCGCAGGGCTTGCCCGGTTGAGGGCTTTGAGTTGATCATACCAGGCCCTCCTCTGGCACAACCTTCTCAACACCTAAACCCCCCTGAACCCTGAACCCTGATTCCTAAACCCTAAACCCTGAACCCTAAACCCTAAACCCTAAACCCTAAACCCTACAAGGTTCTTCTCCCACCGTCCGGTGCCGTCTTCAGCTTGGCCGCTCTTGCTGTAACGAAGTGAAACCTTCACCCAGACCCCTGGGAGGATCCCCCCAAATAGTACCAGGGTTTAGGGTTTAGGGTTTGGGGTCTAGGGTCTAGGATTAAATTCGGGATGTAGGGTTTAGGGTTTAGGGTTTAGGGTTTCGGGTTTAGGGTTTAGGGTTTAGGGTACCCTATACTGCCATTGGGTCACCCTTAGGAACCCTCTCAAGGGGATGTACTTTTGTTGGATCCTCCCAGGGGAGTCTGGGTTGGTGTAACGAAGTGAAACCTAACCCTAAACCCCAAACCCTAAACCCTAAACCCTCAACCTACCCCGGCAGAATCCTTTGGCCTGCCTGAGCAAAGGGAGCTCCGAAACATGAGCCAAACACCCCTAAGCCACGCTAACACCCTAAACCCTAAACCCTAAACCCTAAACCCTAAACCCTAAACCCTGAAAAAAGGGGAAGAAAGGCCTACTCTGGGTCCTAGTAGCCCGAAACCCTCGGGTTGAGGGTCTAGGGTTCAGTCCAAGCATTCACGAGTTTAGCAGCCTTGTAGGCACCGGAAAAGTACCCACCCAACCGTAGAATCCATTTCCATTAAGATATTAACAAGTTTCACACGCAACCCAAACCCTAAGCCCAAAACCCTGATCGCTAGGCCTGAACCCTAAACCCGAAACCCGAAACCCTAAACCCTAAACCCTAAACCCTAAACCCTAAACCCTAAACCCTACCCTTGGAACCCCAAGCCTGGAGCCCTAAACCCTGGGCCCTGAGCCCCAAGGCCTACGCCCTTATTTACGGTTTAGGCGCTAAGGTTGATGTTTGGGCTTCGGGATGCTTAGGGATAACTAGAACAACCTGAGTAGGGGTTAGGGTTTAGGGTTTAGGGTTTAGGGTTTGGGGTTTGGGTTTTAGAGTTTAGGGTTTAGGGCTTGAGGTTACTCTACAAGGGCGGATCACTCGGCATCCACAGCCAGAAGCTGCAACGCCTTGAACTGCCGAAGCTTTTGGCCCCTCTCCATGCCAAGCAGCTCCTCAAGTTGTCACGAGTTCCCAGGGTTTAGAGTTTGTTTAGGGTTTAAAGTTTAGGGTTTAAAGTTTAGGGTTTAAAGTTTAGGGTTTAGGGTTTAGGGTTGTGGGGCAACGACTCCAAACATTCCTTAAATTATAGTAGGATTCCTTGCATGGTAGTTAAAGCAATATTCCTTAATTAAGGAGTATTGGAGTCTCTGGCTTGGTTCTCAAAATCATGGCCCCTTGTTGCGCACCCTAAATATCAGGGGCCGCCTTGTAATAGTCACCGACTTAGTGCGTAAAGTCTAGGTCTAGGTCTAGGTCTGCACACCACTCTTGCAGACAGTCTTGCAAGAACCATCAACTTCTGAAACTACTGTACAAGCCTAAAACCTAAACCTTTAAACCCTACACCCTAAACCCTACACCCTAAACCCTAAATCCTAAACCCTATACCCTAAACCCTGCGTGAATTCTCTTGTTGTATCCTGAGTGCTTCCTCGAAGAGTTGCCCAACGACACCACAAACGCCCGCGTTCCATACCGTTGAAGGGATAAGGTTTATAGGGCTTAACCATTTGAGGATAGGGTTAACCATGTAGGGTTTAGGGTTTCAGGGTTTAGGGTTTAGGGTTTCGGGTTCAGGGCACGATCAGCCAGGAGTCATTGCGCCAAACACGCACTTCGCCACCGTACTTGTCATGCTCCATCCCAAGCTCGACGTCGTCACCATAGCCTTACGGTTCTGAGTACCCAGGGACTCCAATACTCATTAAGGAATATTCCTTAAATTATGTTAGGGCTCCTTGTATGGTTTAAGGAATATTCCGTAACAAAAGAGTATTAGAGTTTCTGAGTAGGGAATGAGGGAATGATGCCAGAATGTCCATCTGTAGCCCAATGGAGATAGGGTACCCGCCGACACCCTAAACCCTAAATCCTAAACCCTGAACCCTAAACCATAAACACTAAACTCTAAACCCTAAACCCCAAACCCCTGAACCCCTAAACCCTAAACGGGCGCAAGCGGCTGTACCCGAGGTCGTCCAGGCTGCGGCCATCTGCGCTGCGTGACTCGTCAATGCGCATCACGGTTGGCAAGACAAGCTTCAGGACCAGAGCCTCAGACGGGTTAGGGTTAAGGGTTTAGGGTTTCGGGTTTGGGGTTTAGGGTTTAGGGTTTGGGGTTTAGGGTTTAGGGCTTAGGGTTGAGGGTTGAGGGTTTAGGGCGTAGAATGGTGTAACACTTATATAGTAAATAAATCTGGTCCCTTACCTTCTTTGAAAGGTTCTGAAGTATGGGCCCTTGAAAATGTATGGGGTATATAAGTTCCCCAATTGCTGTAAGGGCTTAGATTAAGGGGCCATGTAACTTATCTAAAAACAATCCTGAACCCTGAACTCTAAACCCGAAGTGCTTTCGGGCCTCTACTACTTCTTCTCGTCGGAAACTGGGAATTCGGTTCACTATAGATCCTGGAAAGGGTTCTGGAGGCTACTTGAAGTTGCCTAATTACTAAGAACTAAAGAGTTAAGGTTTGGGTAATTTACATCCAGAAACTTAAGCCCTTATCCCTAAACCAGGGTTTAGCGTGTAGGGTTCAGGTTTAAGGGTTAAGGGTTTAAGGGCTTAAGGTTTAGGAGCTCAAGGGCTTAAGTTTAAGGGTTTAGGGTTCAGGGGTAACCCTAAACCCTAAACCGCAAACCCTAAACCCTGAACCCTAAACCCTAAACCCTAAACCCTAAATCCTAAACCCTAAACCCTAAACCCTAAACCCCAGGCCCTAAACCCTAAATCCTCAGGGAGGTCAGGAGGCTTGCATCTCGTGCGTAAAGACCGGAAAGGGCGGCCAGGAAAGCTCTGCCGACTGGGCTTCGGCCCCCTGGCGGAAGGCCTGTGCTCCCCAAAACCCTTAGGGTTTAGGGTTTAGGGTTTAGGGTTTAGGGCTTAGGGTTTAGGGTTTAGGGTTTAGGGTTTAGGGTTTAGGGTTTCGGGTTTAGGGTTTAGGGTTTAGGGTTTAGGGTGCAAGGTTTGGGGCTTGGGGCTTAAGGGTTAAAGTTTGGGGCTGAACCCTCAACACTAACCCCCATAAACCCTAAACCCTGAGCCTCAAACCCTAAAACCAAATTTCAAGCTCGCGGTCCACGGGTTCAGGGTGCAGGGCTTCGGGGTTTAGGGGTTTTGGGTTCTGGGATTTCGGGCGTGGGGTTTAGGGCTTGGGGGTTTAGGGTTTAGGGTTTAGGAATTAGGTGTTTACCTTAAGCTGGACTCTGAGAAGCTTCAAGCCACAAAGAAACTTTTGGCTTGGCATTGTTTAGGGATTGGGTTTAGGGTTTAGAGTTTAGGTTTTAGGGTTTAGGGTTTTGGGTTTAGGGTTTAGGGTTTGGGGTTTGGGGTTTAGGGTTTAGGGTTTTGGGTTTAGGGTTTTGGGCTTAGAACCCTAAGCCCGGAAACCCCTCAGTCGGTGAACCCCTCAACTTTGAGCCCTCAAACCCTGAACCTGCACCCATAAAACCCTGCAGCCCTAAACCCTAAACCCTAAACCCTAAACCCCAAACCCACCCCCCCCCCCAAACCCCAAACTTGACATTCGGCCGGAGATTCTTCGTCCTCGTCGGGGTTTGTGTCGTCCAAGACTCCGTTGACGCACGCGTCCGCGTACCAGTATTCAATGCCTCTGTCATCCCACTGGTTCCTGGCTTGGGGCTGCGGGTTTCGGGTTTCGGGTTTCGGGTTTAGGGTTTAGGGTTTAGGGCTTAGGGTTTAGGGTCGTAGGGCTTAGGGTTTAGGGTTTAGGGTCGTAGGGCTTAGGGTTTAGGGTTCAGGGTTCAGGGTTTACGTTTAGGTTGTAGGTTCATGCACAAGCTCACATGTCTCGATGCCCTACCCCAGTCAATTTCTCCTGAGCAGAAAATACTGGCGGCTGTAGATGTGCTTCGGCTGAGTGGGATCACCAACTGCGTAGCACAACGTTGGGTAACCGCCCTCTGAGCGGATCACCCAGATCTTGCACTCATCCAGAGACCTTTCACGGCGGCAGAGTTGCCCCAAACCCCTGTAAACCCTAAACCCTAAACCCTAAACCCTAACCTACGGAACATGCACTTGAAAGAAAAAATGTACGCAGGCAGGTGGCCTTTCCCGGGACGCAACATGCCAACAAACCTTCAACCCGAAACCCCGAATGAAGCCCCTAAACCACTCCTAGGAACCCAAACCCTAAACCCTAAACCCTATCACACTTTTACGCCTGCGGATACGAAGCGTCCCAAACTGCGGCCGAAGGCCGTGAAACAGGAGCTGCCTGCAAACGGAGTCGACTACACTAGAGCACTAAGGGGCAGAGGCCTAAACCACAACAACCTTAGGGGTCGGGAAGGCCGGCTGGCCCAGATTGCAGAGTGATCGACGGGTGCACGGCAGAGCTTCCGCTTCTAGTATTCTTGGCGAACGCCACAAGACTGAACTACGTTCAGAATCAGAGCGCGGGAGTACGTGCTCAACAAACGGATCCGATCGCGTGCCGATCGCGGAAGGCGTTGCAAGAGTAATTGCGCACCTACCTCCTGGAGGTAAAACTCAACCGTCTTTATCGAAAGCTTAACCCAGTTCAAGCCCGCTGGGAGGGTTCTTTTCCTTTGGGCGGAAAGGAAACGGTGGGGTCAGATTCAGGCTGCCGGTGCAGCTAGGTGCACCGGGGCCGGAACTTCTCCGGCGTGAGACAACGTGCCCCCCGGTGCAACTAACGCTACCAACCTAGTCTACGCATACGTACGACGCATGCGGGAAGCTAGTACGACTAGCTAAAAGGGATGTGGAGGGTGGGACAGAAAACGGAAGCTACGCTTCGAGCTTCAAACGACTGCGAGGGACAACGTTCGCCCCGACCTTCGTCTTAACAACGTGTTAGGCAAACGTTGCCTGCATTCGTTTAAGCTGACGATAAAGCACAATCACGCACGCGTGAAGGAAGCTTATCGAAAGCTTAACCCAATTCAAGCCCGCTGGGAGGGTTCTTTTCCTTTGGGCGGAAAGGAAACGGTGGGGTCAGATTCAGGCTGCCGGTGCAGCTAGGCGCACCGGGGCCGGAACTTCTCCGGCGTGAGACAACGTGCCCCACTGAGAAAGCCTCGAATGCCTACAGACCCCACCTTAAGAGAGACCGGAGAGGCCCAACGCGTGCTCAAGGGCCCTGTGCGGCAACGGCACGCGCCGACCTCCCAGACGTAGGATCTGGGAGAAGTCACCCCTACTTGGACCGTCCGCGATGTTACTGGCGGTCGGCACTCGCAGGAAGCAGGCATTGACGCGGAGACGCTCCTCTTCCTGCACGGCAGAAAAGGTGATGGCCGCTCCCTCTTCTTTCCTAGTGAAACTTTTGGCCAGGGACGCCCTGGCTGCATCGTTATCGATGAAGACCAGCAGGTCACGGCCTTGCAACAATGAGCCCCAGAGATGGAGGGACACTAGATAAGGCAGGAGCCCACACTCAAAAACGAGTTGCTTTTTGCCGACACGGTCAGCCCATATGGCTGCAACATCGAGCGGAAGCTGGTGTCCCCAGGCTACGGGGACGCCCCCAAGCCAGAGCACCCCACCGAAACCGCATACAGGGCAGGCGCTCACATGCGCCGTCCAGCCATAGGTGGAACGTCTCCACAGGCTGGATGGAGCGCAAACGTGGGGCTCCATCCAGGACCATTCTTGACACAAAGTCCAGTGCGCGCCTCTGAGTGTCAGTCACGGCGCAGCACTCTGTTGCCCAGAAGATCAGTGGCTGGGGGGAGTCGGTGGCAGGAGAAACGTCTCCAATGGCCACCACTGCCTGGTGGGCATTACGGCCCCAAACTTGCTGCTCAGCAAAGATGAGGCGGCCGCGCAGACGCTGCGCCTCTTCGTAGGTCAACGTCCCTTTGGTTGTAATTTGTCGAATCGTTTGCTTGAGCTCCTCAATACGCTGAGGGGTGTTACGGACCTGAACCACGCCTTGGTGCTGACAGCTTAAGTCAATACGGACGCCGAGGACGTCGAAGACCTCGGAAAACGGCTTGTTCTTCTTTTCTTCGGGGGCAACGTGCCAGCCCAACTTCTGGAACAGGTATGAAACGACAGTCCCAACGTGGGAGGAGTTGTGTGTTGACGTCAACACCGTAAAATCGTCGAAAAACGAGGTCATCGCAAGGAAGAGTTTTCGTCTGGCGATGCTTTTCAGGGCTTCTCCGCATCGGAGAAAGGCGTGCACGGCCGCTACGGCCCCGAAGGGAAGGCTGCGCAAGCGACAGAACTGGACTGACCCAGACTGGGGGTCCAGAACGCAGATTACAGCAAATTGCTTATGATCGGCTCGCACGGCGAGCTGTTTATACGCACTTTTGAGGTCCCAGGTACGACCCACGATCCTGTCGGACGTGGATGAAGGCAGTCGGAAACGCAGCCAAGAGAGGCACGCCTCCACGATCTCATCGATCCCGTCCAATTGGACTTTTTCCTGAACGCCGCAGGCTGCGTTAACGAAGCTGGCCTTAAGATTGTCTATGGGACGGACTTTCTGTTTCTGGAGGACCCCGAAACGCGGGGAAACAACAGAGAAGCGCATCAGTTCTTCACGGCCGCAAAGGGATAGCCACCCGTTGGCGTCTTCTTGCAGGGTGACGTCCCACACTTGCTGTTCTGTTGTTGCATCACGATGTCGGCAGAGTCCTTTCACGGATCTATTTGTGATATCTTCTGCCATGGAACACAGACAGCGAGGGGTGAGCTCGGGCGGCTGCACGTCAGCGTCCCATAATCCTGACGCGGGGAGCCAATCCACTATGGGGAAACCTTCCCGTATAGAACGCGCCACGGCTTGGTCAACGTGACCGAGTTGGCAAAGGAGACGCTCTGTGGCCACGGACCTCTTTCCTGAGGTGACTTTAGCTACCTCCGGGTGCAGGGCAGCCCTGAGGCGCTCTTCCTCGGGCATGCTCTCACGACAAACGCGGGCTATGTCGCGAGAGGCCTCAGTGCGTGCCTTGGAAAGCGTCACACAATCTTCCGAGGCTTCGGCCGCCAGGGCCACCATCATGTCAGGAGGCAGGGTGAGCCGGGAGCGGCGAGGGTTGGGGAGGTCCAGGGCCTGACGGCACCAGGACTCAGGCGTGCACGGCACGGCGAGCAAGGCCGAGGAACGAGAGACATCGAGACTGAGGACACGCGTGCCTTTAGGCCAACTAGCCCAGCCTTGAGGGACCCTGCACGGAGGGAACATGTGAAGGAAGGGCAGGGCATCAGCACCCTGAAGAGTTACACGAACGTCGAAATCTGGTTGGCACATTGTCTTAAAAGTGCGCTTGCGCCCCACGGGGGCCCGAGCAATGACGTCCTTCAGCGCGGACGCCGCGCATGATGCCCACGCGTGGGCCAGTTGCGGAGTGTACGCACTTTCCATCGATGTCGACCAAACCTGGCGACCCTCATGCATGACTCGTCCCCAAGACGCATGGGGATGGTCACCTGTGCAAAGGATTGCCGAACGTCGGAACCAGGACCGGTTTGACACCACAACGTGGTGCACTTGCGACGGGAGCTGCCAAACATGCAGGAATGCAGATTGGCTATATGGGAGGACGCTACGAGGTCCTTCAGACCCGGATAAAGCCATATGAGGCTATTGGGCGGATTTTCAATCGACCAACAGACGCCGTTGGCCGAAAGGCGCTTGCACCATGACGTCATGAGCCCGACCAGTCTGTTTGCAGCCCAGACGCGGGCCTTGTCCTGAAAGGACTTGAGATGCGGCAACCCCTTAACAAAGCGAGGGTTACGTAGGGGCTTCGGCCCATTGAGGCGACGCACCTCCCGAGCTCTGCTATAAAAGTACCGCACGGCGGAGCCCAGTGGACCCAAACTACGTTTCGTCGTTGAAGGATGTCCCCCAGCAGAGTCCGGCCTTCGGTCGTGGTCAGGTCGAGCTGGAGGACCTTAGCCCCGGAGGCCTTGGAACTTTTGTCGATGCTCACGACATGGAAACCGCGCTCGCGGGCGGCTTTGCTGAGACGCGCCAGGCCGCAGAAGACTTCGACGAACACCGGGACGTCCCTATGCGCGGCTGCTGCGCTATCAAGTGCAGGCACGGCCTGGACATGGGGGGCATGCACGTCTGGGTCTTCTACGGGCTCGGCAACGGCCGACGAAAAAGGAAACTGCTCAGGCTTGAACGTTCCTGCTGGCAAGGAGGCGCGGCCCCCAGTTGGTGGTACGACCACGTCCTCACTGGAAACGTTTGCTCGAGGCGGGGGCGGGCACGTGACTAGTCACTCCTTTTTCTTGTTGGCCGGGCAATCGGCAGCCCCGTGGTCCTTGGACCCGCAGGACATGCAAACGTGCAGGCCTCTTTCGCACTCGGCGGGGCTGCCGGACGTGGGGAGGTCGCAATGCTCATCCAAGTTGAAACCGTAGCAGTAACGCCTGCCATGCTCATCTTGGGGCTTGAAAGACCGGAGCTCCTTCGGCATAGAGGGTTTCTTGGCTGAGGGCAGGGTAGCAGATGTGGCTTTGCCTTTGCCACGCCCACGCCCACGGGGCGCTGGAGTACGGCTCCGGTCTTTGCCTTTGCCTCCCTTCCCTCTGCCACGGCCCCACTCCCGGGCACGGTTCTCGGGCTGGGGCAAGGGGAAGAGGCTGAACGTGACGCATGTGTCGTTCTGCTTGGCAGATATAAGGGCGTCCAGCGGGGCGACGCCCGCAGAGGTGGGCTTGCAGCCATCGCGACACTCCCGCGCGAGCAACGTCCACAGCTCTTTGTCTGCTTTGATGATGGCCCCGACGCCAGGTCTAACGTAGCCTGGAGGGGCGGCGCGACTTGCGAGAAAAAAGTAGTTGCGCACGAGACGCTCGTGGACGTGGAAAGACACGAGCCCGACACGGTCCAGGGCGATGCCTCGTCGAGGGAAGGCTTGCTGCAACTTGAAGTCCGTGGCTACGTCCACGTGGGTGGGCTGGTCTTTCTTCTTCAAGGTGATTTCGCCATTTTCTATGGCAAAGAAGTCCTTGTCATGCCGCACGGCGGCGACTTCTGCGTCGCGGCTGACGCAGGCGGACGGCGGGATGTATCGTACAAGGCCGTCGTGCAGCATGGCCGCCGCTCGGTCTACGAGACCGTTGGAATAAGCAC